TATCTCAATATTCCTATAGTCAATCCATTTCTGATTTTGGCAGTAAGGAGGCCCAGAGAAATAGTCAAATGTCACAATCTGTGACAAGAAACTACCGTCAAAACTGAAATAGATGAATGCACAAAAAGCCTTGCTAAGACCCAAGAACAAAAGGACGCAAGGAAAACTGCCCAGAAAAAGGGCTCCCTGCAAAAGAGGAGGCTCCAGGGTGGTGCTGACGACACCAACCACAGCACGGGCACAAAAGAGGACTAAGCAGAAATGTCCAAGTCATGAGGCCACCGTGGGTGTCATGATGATGAGCACAGAAGTTCAAGACCTAAGGATAGGGCACAAGATGAGCACCAAGCTCCTGAAGCACAAAGACTCCTCTGGCCCCCTTCCCCCCTCAGGATCAATCTCTCCCCCTCTCGCGCTCTTCCCGCCCTTCTCTCCCCCTCACGCGCTCTCCCCCCTCCCCTCTCCCCCTCACTGCCTGGCACATACTAGTGTTGTGCTGAACAGCAACCCGCTGCCCTTACCTGCCCAAAAGGGACAGCTCCTTATCAGCCCTCTCCCCAACTCTTCACTTTAAAACCCCTCCCTGCAATTACCAGCCTTGTCCCTCCACCCCCTGAGCCCTCCCCAGCACCCATCCCTCAACTTAGCTTTCAAGGGGCCAGAGGTCTCAACCCATCTTTGTTTAAAGAGAGCTTCACAGTTGGTCAACTGCATTAGTCCTGCAATTACCAGGCTCCTCTTCATCACCTGCAAAAAGAAAAAAACACCATAGACTATTAAACCACCTTCTCACCCCAAAACTTTTTATATGAAGTTACCAACAGGAGAAAAAACTGCATGCAAGAAACATCCTTCTGCCTATACACACTGCTTACCTGGAGAGTCTTGCAGAATGTTGACAGTGAGCTTCAATCTTCAAGCACACTCACCCAAACAGCTCCAACAGCTCTAAAACAGCCACCAGCAGCAAGGACATGACAGCACAGCCACAGAGCAGACTGAGCTCCCTGGGCACAAGCGATGGCTCATATAACCCGGGGTCCACCCACTGCCCTTCCCACAATCCATGGGAAAGGGGCAGGGGCAAACACAAGCTGGAATTAAGGGGGCTGGGGGAGCAGCACCTCATTCTGATGATAAATTTACTCCAGATGACCAAGCACCTGACCTGGAGAAGGAGCCAGACCTCTCCAATGGTAAAGATTTCTCACTTACTCAGTATGGAAATGGCTGATGATGGAAGCCAGAGAAGAAATTAATTAATGTAACAAATCTCTAAAGAGCATCAGTTCTCCCTTTTGTTAAGTCCCATAAAAATGTGTCCGTCCCCCTCCCCCCTGAGTGTGTCCCCCTGTGTGTGCATGTGCACAGAACCCCAAAAATTCGAGAACACTGTCAGGAACAGAAAGAAACCAACTTTGCCTGTCTTTGTTAAGACGCATGGGGTTAATGCAAGAGATACAAAGAAACAAAGTATTTATTGTTAAAAGCTTTTCTATGAATCACTCGGCATCAGACAATGAAGATACGGTGGCTACAGAGTAGAGGGATCCTCTCTCTCCCCCCCCCTTTTACACACGTGTTTGCTCACTCTCACAACCCACAGCTGTATTTGTTTTAATGAAGTTCTTTTCTTCAATGAGATTGAAAAGGTGTTTATCATACAGGATCTGGCAGAACAGATACATCAGATTAAACAACAGAGCAGTTACAGAAAGGAGATCTCTTTCTTCAGAAAAAAGGAGCATTCTTCTCCCCCTCACCTCTTTGCACTGCCACAAAAGGGTTCTCAACACAAAAATAGGCAAAAAAAAAAAACCCAAACTAGCATTTTGGCAAAATTAGGGGCCCAAGGATATCCACAACAATAATGATATATGCACTAATATTTTCACTCAGCTTCCACAGGATAAATTCTAGACAATGTGGTGTAAAAAACCTGCCAGCCTAAACAATGTCTGCATTATAACTACCAACCTCACTAAATGGAACAACTGAATCCCTGGTGATAACTGGAAAATGTTTTGACAATGTGTCTCAAAGTTATTGCAGAATATTTGGTTCTGTCCTGGACACACCACAGGCTCCATGAAAGCTGGGCCTGGCTCTGGCTCACACGCCACACACAGACACACAGACACACACACACACACACACACGGACTGTGCTATTTCCAGCAGTTCTCTGAACGCCATCCTGTGCTATGTCTTACTGGCACTTCAGTGGTGCTCTGCTCCATCTTTTCTTTTCCACTGCTGTATTCTTCTCTCTATTCCATAATCAAACATTTGTTTTCCTTTGAATTTCTGAGAAACACTTGGTCTGAATCCTGACTCATGGCCAACAGAACAAAGGACTAAAAAGAGTGTTTCAAACCTGCCACATCAACACTTCAGCTCTATGATACAATTCCCTTCTACTGGCACTCCAGAATTCTGTTTTAAGCCTTCCCTAGTTTGATGCTATCTTTTTCTAATAATCTATATTATCTATAAATTAACTACTCCTATGCACAGAATATTTTTTTGCACTATGCCCAGATTTTTACTGTACTGTGGCAGCAACTGAAGACCCCAAAATGTCTTCCTGTCGTTGTTTATACACACAAAAAGACAACCATCCTGAACTTCAAATTAGTTTATCATTCCCAATCTGCTACAATAACATGCCTGATCAGGACCTTTCATTTTTGTATGCCCATGTGGCATTTGGTCCAGTTCCTCCCAGTTTTGCTCCAATATTTTTCTTCAAATATAATTTAATTTTTTTGCACCCAAGTAAAAAACTTCTAGCTGCACTCCTGGAACAGAGCTCTACATCTCTCCCTGTGTCTCTTCAGTAAAAGGCTTGAACTGCTTCTGAACATAGGAAAAAAGCATAAAAATCTCAAATGCCAGTTTAGCAAAAGGAAAGACATCTGACAGCTATTCCTGACTCAATGTTGCTGACCAGTCTTTCTATGTGCAGTAGGGCTATGGACAGTGGGATATGAGAATTTAGAATCTGGATTGCCATCTGCAGTGGCTGACTCGTGCATGTGCAGAGTACAGCGCTGGTGCTTAGTACAGGATCACCCCCCAGGGAAGCTCCTTGAACACTGGGCAGACACCACATTAGTCTTGTTAACTCACTCTGAGAGAGACTTGGGAACAGACCCACCCAGTTAATTCCACAGAGAGTCTAAAAGCAGACTGGAGTCCATTATGTTGCCAACTGAGGCACATGACTGAACTTTCTCTGTATAAATATTTGCCACAACAGAATTTGCTGGCAGGCTTCCTGCAGGCTTCTATTCCAGTCCCTTGCCCTCCTCACATCCTTGCATCTTTCTCTGCATTTCTTATTCCTGGAGACTGCATGCACCCCTGACTGTAGCTGCTCTGTTTACCACACACAGAAGAGTTCTATACACTGGACAGCATGCACACAACTGGCACAGCAGCATAATCAATATGGAAGCACAGCAGCAGATGAACCCCACCGTTTTCCCTCCTCGTGCTTGCTTGTCATCCATTCAGCAGAGCCTTAGAGGAAGTCAGGTTTCCTCTCTGTCTCTCCCTGTCTGGCAGTCTCACAGCCCTTCACTGTACTCAGTTTAAGACTGCAGCATTTCACATTTTACTGCAAAGAGGTTTTAACACAAAAAAGTTCCCAATGAAGCCACTCCCAGCAAAAGGCCTCAGGCAAACTGATGCAGCAATGCAGCTCCTTACCCCAGCGTGTTTGTGTGGCAGAACTGCTGTTACAGGACTGCAATCACACCAAGTTTTCCAACACAACTCTGAACACAGTCAAAACGATGGCACTACGAATGTGAAAGCAGAGGTATTAAATACAGGGGTGGAAGAGAAGACTTTCTCTTCTGTGACTGGATGGAAGAAACTTTTAAGTTCAACTACGAATGAAATTGGCAAAGACAGCAGAAGAGAAAAGGGCAACGCTACAGCAAGATGCATTATTCAGTAGAGCTGCCTCCCTTCCACACCACATGTGAATTTGATTCTCTTTCCAAGAAAATGAAAGGAAGGAGATGAAAAGTTGTAACCGGAAGAGGATTTTAAGTGCCACATTATCTGGACAAAGACGTATAATTTGGCAGCTGCTTTTTGGACTAGGAGTCATGTTGGGTCATGAATTACAATCTAGTCTATAAACTACAAAAAATGAGGATGGGGAAGGATTTAATGAAGATGTCCCTGCTTCCAAGTAAATATGGTACAAATTCCCATAGTCTGAGTTTGTTGTACATTTACAAAGAAGATGATTTCCCAGGGATAGGTTCTCTGTGCTACTTAAGGCTGATAGTGCTTTATAACTCAGCAGCATCCTGGATAATCAGTATGTATTGGGGGTGGGGAGACACGATCCACACCAAAAGGCAGTTCATCTATGATCAAAATGTGAGACCAGGGACTCTATTATCATCTTGAAGTAAGAGAAAACCACCACATTATATGAAGTTAAACTTCCTGGATTTTGCACCAACTTGAGTTTTTTTCAGTGCTGATCCCAACTGGCACACAGAGAAGCATTTCAGAAATCTCATATTTTACATCTGTCTCATTGTCAGTATCTGCTGTGCTCAAGGCAGGGATCAGCAAAGCACCATTAAATTATTCTCATTTTCTCAGAATGCCTCCTTTCTTGCTTCAACCTCATCTTTGCTAATACCACTGATATTAAGGATGCCTAAGAAGCTCTCCTCTGGGGGGTAATTCTCTGCCTCTCAGTACAGCACATTGATCATACCCACACCTAGGGATACCTCATTCAGTTTACCTTCCACTGCAGGGGCAAGGGGAAGAGTAAGTATTCGTTTGCAGAAGAGTTGACCTGCCTATACTACCTTCTTCCAGAGGGGCTCTTCATTCCAGGAATGAAAATTATCCTAGTTCGCTCTTTCACACAGTGAGATGGCTTCTTGCACTCATCCAGCTGGAATAAAAACTCTATTCATGAATAAACAGCATTACATACCCACAAGAAAGACTATCTTGTCTAATTCTAGATAAATTCCTAGTTGAGACTCCTAGGTAACACGGGATGAGAACTGCCTTTATTTCTCTAAATCTGTAGTCTCCTGTAACACCCATCTCAGCCTCCCCTATCAATGCCACCCATGACTCTATGCATAGCCCATTAGGATTTGCTGTGTAGTGTCTGAACTTTCCACTAAAACTTGATGATACACGTTGATGAATGAGCCTTTAATGTTCTTTAACACTGACACTTGTACGGCTCTGTCTCTGGCCTGGAATGGTTGGAGACTCCGCCCTGGGGCAAGATTTTCAAGGGTCACTCTAAAGCTGGTGTTCTGACTGGTGTGCTGATGGTACATTCTCATTCAGCCAGGAAGCAGGTCCATGTGTAACAGTGAGCTAAGTAACACTGAAAAGTCCACTGGTTTGGTGGTCATGATGCCAATGGAATCTTGTGAGCAGTACTTATGTGTTGCGCACCCCCAGAGATTGTTCCAGTTCCTGCCGGCGCTGCTGGATCTGAAAGAGAGAGAGAACTGTGCAGTCCAGCAGATTGTTCAGTGGCAGGAAGACTCATCTGTAAGCAAGCAGTGGGGTAATTCCTTCATACCTTGCAGTAGAAGTATCTGCTCACAGCCTCTTGAGACCATGGCTCATGATAAAATTCAGCTCTCCGTTCTTCCTCTGGGTTTCCAACTACATCAGTCATCACCTGTGATAAGAATTAAAACAATTTTTCACTATAGCTCTTCTACCACAGAGGGAAACATTCACATTTACCTAGAGTAAAAAATTACCTACATTTCTACATCAAAAATATTCAGGACTGTTCTCTGAGTCCAAGGCAAATCAACAGTAAATAGCATGTGTGTTTACCACCAAAACAAGATGGTTGCATACAAGCTATGAAGTGTGACCAGCTCCCACCTCTGCTCCTCAGCTCTGCCAAGGAATTATTCTGGACACCAGTAGTTCCCCAGGCTAAATACTACAACCTCTAACAGTTTAATAGCATGGACAGCTTAGTTCCAGTTCCCAGGAAAAGTTTCCCAGCACTGTATGTTTTATTAGTCTGTAAGAACCTCAGGGGTTATCCACACACAGGGTAACAGCTTGACACTGCTCAGGTATTCACATCAGATGGAAGCACAACTCTACATCAGAGCTGCCCTAATCCCAGTGCATATCTTACCTTGACTTCAAGGAAAGTTCTGATGGGAAAAGCATTACGGAAAAATAACTCTGTTGAAAAGCAAGGAATAGAAAACACTAGTAATTCCAAAATGGCCAAAGTCCTGAGCTATTTTTAAGTCTCTACAGAACTGCCAAGAAAGCGAGATTTGAAGAACAACAAGTTGTTTAAGGAATTAGTGGATGAGACCACCTGGAAAACTGCCCTTAGGGACAAGAGGCTGAAGTGTGTAAGAAAGTGGGCAAGGAAGGCAGGAGACCGGCATGGCTCAGTAAGGACCTCCTGGTCATATTAAAGAGTAAGAAAGAAATTCACAGGCGGTGGAACCAGGGACAAGTATTTTGGGAAGAATAGAGGGATACTGCCCAGATGTGTAGGAATGGGCTCAGGAAAGCTAAGGCACAGGTGGAGCTGAATTTGGCAAGGCATGCAAAGAACAGTAAGAAGGGCTTTTACAGGTACATAGGCCAGACAAGGAAGATTAAAGAAAATGTACATCTCCCCCTAATAAATAAGGCATGAGAACTGGTGAGAATATGGAGAAAGCTAAGTTGTTGGGTTTTTTTTCCCCCACAGTTTTCAGTGATAATATCTCCTCCCATACCTCTCAACCCCCTGAACCTCATGGGGGAAAGAAGTCCTTCCCACTGCAGGACATCAGATTTAAGAACAACGTACACAAATCGATGGGACCTGACAAAATGCATGCCAGTGTCCTGAGGGAATTGGCTGATGTGGTCATGAAGCCATTCTCCAACATATTTGAAAAGTCACAGCAGTCAGGCAAAGTCCCCAGTGACTGGAAAAGGGGAAACATCATACCCATTTTAAAATGGTAAAAATAAGGACCCTGGGAACTACTGACCAGGCAGCCTCACCTCTGTGCCCAGTAAGATTATGAAACGATTCCTTCTGGAAAAAAATGTCCCAGGATATGGAAGGCAGAGAGGTGAGTAGGGGCAGCCAACATGGCTTCAGCAAAGGCAAACTGTGTGGTACTAACATCGTGGCCTGAAGTGACTGCATTTGTGGGTAAGAGAAGAGCAACTTATGTCATCACCTGGGTCAGGGCAATCGACACCAACAGCACTCAGTTTCGGGGCCAGTCTTAGTCAATATTTTTATCAATTATCTGGGTGAGGGGATTCAGTGCTTTCTCAGTCAGTTTGCAGATGACACCAAATCAGGCAGGAGTGTTATCTGCTCAGTGGTAGGGAGGCTCTGCAGAGGGACTTGGACAGGCTGGATCCATGGGCCAAGGCCAATTGGATGAGGTTTAACAAGGCCAAGTGCCAGGTCCTGCACTTTGGTCACAACAACCCCATGCAAAGCTACAGGCTTGGGGCAGAGTGGCTGGAGAGCTGCCCAGCACAAAAGGCCCTGGTGGTATTGGTTGACAGCCAGATGAACATGAGCCAGTGTGTGCCCAGGTGGCCAAAAAGGCCACCAGCATCCTGGCCTGCATCAGGAATAGCGTGGCCAGCAGCAGTAGGGAGGTGATCATGCCCCTGTCCTGGCACTGGTGAGGCTGCACCTCAAGCACTGTGGGCAGTTCTGGGCCCCTCACTACAAGAAGCACATTGAGGGGCTGGAGTGTGTCCAGAGGAGAGCAACCAAGCTGGGGAAGGGTCTGGTGAACAAGTCATACGAGGATTGGCTGAGGGAACTGGGGATGTTTAGTTTGGAGAAGAGGTGGCTGAGGGGAGACCAACTACCTGAAAGGAGGTTGTATGGAGATGGGAGTTGGGCACTTCTCCCAAATAAATAATGACAGGACTAGAGGAAATGGCCTGAAGTTGCACTAGAGGAGGTTTATACTGGGTATTAGGAAGAATTCCTTTACCAAAGAGTGGTTGGATACTGGAACAGGCTGCCCAGGGAGGGAGTGGAGTCACCAACCTTGGAGGTATCAAAACATATAGATGTGGCACTTCAGGACATGCTCTAGTGGGCAAGGTGGGTGTTGCTGTGTTGTTTTAATTTTTATCCATGTTTGTTGTTTTTTTTCCTCCTGGGTGGACATTTGGACTTGGTGATCGTAGAGGTTTTTCCAACAGTGACAGTTCTGTGGTTCTGTGATATAGCCAGAAGGATAAATGGATTGAGAGCAGCCCTGCCACTCATTGTCTGCCTTCCACCAATTTTCCATACTGGATGATTTACGTATATACATATGTAGATAAAACTATCACATTCTGGTTCCACTATTCACTCTTCTTCAAACCTTGGCTCACCTTAAGATCCCTACTTTGGGACCGGAGAAGGTCTTGGATGTATCCTTTGGGATCTTTGGAGAAACTCAGCATGAAATCACGTTGTATTTTTAGTTGATTTATGGATTCGATTGTCTCATGAATCTGACAGAAAAAAACCAGAGCAGATGTTACTTATTTCCTCCCACACTCCAGAGACCTTGAGGTCTGCCCCGTTATCATCTTTGTACTTGTTGTGAGGTACAAAGGTGATAGTTCTCCACTGCAGACTTGTGCAGGGTCCCATGGCTTTTGCCCTTCAGTATGTACAGGATTATTCCTGTGCTGAACTGCTGGCTGGCATGCTGTAACCCATGTTGAGGAGCTAAGTTATGTCACTGGACAGTGCAGTGATTTCCTGGGTATCACCAGTCTTTCTGCCAAGCTGGGATTTTTCAGGAAAAGTCCCATATAAGTACGTCTTTAAACAGTGCCCAATGCAAGACAGCAGTTATTCCTCTGGTTAATCATCACTGTATTTTCAGTACCCTGCTGTGATCCTTACAATTCCTAGTGATTGCCTGATCAAGTCCATGTTAAATGGACTCATGTAACAGCCACAACTTCCAGACTTTTCTGACAAGAAAGCCTATTAAAGCCCCAGTGGCTGCAAGAAGAGGAGTACGAACAATAAGAAATCTGCAGTATGGAAGGGTTATGAAACAGTAGTCATATCTTCAGAAATATTACCAAAAAAATGAGCATTAACCAGCAGGGAATAATGAAGACTCCAAACATAAGTCAAGGTCGTATCATTCTGGATAACAAAATCAAATATAATCAATGGGAGGACAATTAATGAATCATTTGCACATAGGCATACACAGAAAAGCAAACTTTTTATATCCCATTCCTCTAAAATTCTAGGTTGAGATTGTAAACCTATCTTGTTTAATTTCATTAATACATCTGTTTTGCCAAAACAGCTAATGTGGCTGTGGAGGAAATAATCCTGCCCTGATCTGGCTGAGCCATCAAGGCCATCAAGGCCAATAGTGTGGACACAACTATACGGTAGCTGACAGAAGCGAGTTGCCATGAACTTAATTCCTTATTTGGGAAAGCAACGTAGCCATGCTGGAAAGAAATCTGCTGCCTTGCACCGGATTTCCACTAGAGGACTCTGGCAGCACGGAGTAGACGAGACAGATGAGAACCGGCAGCAGTCAGACCTCTTTACCCAGAAGTGACTTCAGTAACTTCCTTCCTCACAGTTTCCACTCTGCTGTACCAAGTGGTCAAAGAGAGGTGACACCGACATGGGGAAATGTGAGCTGGGCTGGGAATAGAACAATCCTGCGTGTGCTGCAGGCAAACCTATACAGGCTGTGAACCAGCTGGCTGAGCTGCTGAAAAGGACCTTTTTCAAGAGCCATAAAACAAAAGATGCTGCAAGAGTTACCAGAATCCACAGGACTGTTAGTGTCCAAACGCCTTTAAATCACATGAAGACCAGAGTTTAATATATTAATAATACCTGTTTGTATTACAGGTAAAAATCAGAACCTGGACCTGACTACATGTCACGTAAGTCATTTCTGGTCCATAATGTCACACTTCTTCCCTTGCTTTGAGAAGCCAATTTTTTATTCCTTATCAAGCCAAATCAGCCATTTACAGGTGTGCCAAATGGTAGCTAACAGTGCCCATGACATGAACCCCTTCCACAGCCTGCAGAGCTCACCACTGCTGTGAGACAAATGCTACTATCTGAAGTGTGTGGGATCCCTTTTCAAGAACAGTGAGCAAAACTGACCCAAGAGATTTTTCTGCCCTGCATCTTCTGTATCTGGAGACACTGCAGAGAGCTGTTCTGCACCCCTGCATGCACAAAACACATCTGGAGTATGAGACTCTCCTAGCTTTGCCTTATAACAGTTCAGCAAGACACCATTACCTCTCAGTAAAAAGTTACAGTCAAACAGTTCAGATGATTCTTGAGTGCCAGGGGACTCATAATACCATCTGTACATTCTGCTTCTATCACCTCCACATGTCAGGCCCTGGATCAAATCCTAAGTGGGAATGCCACTCATGCCTCTGAATTCTCATTGCATGTAGCTGATTCCTCTCTTGAAGGCACATCCCACTGAGAAGTCCCCATCTGACAATGTTACTGTCTGAGATGTTACACCAACAGGAAGGTGCACAATCAGTATCTATGCCAAGTGACACTTTACTCCTAGGCTGGTACCTTGTTGTCCAATGCTGTGATCTCCTGTTGGTTGGCTGTTGAGAGAAGAAAACTACTCATCTGTCCCTTTAATGGGTCTTCAACTTCTACATCTATGTCGTAACAAGCTGTCTTCTTCTGATCATTGGGGTCAACACTAGGGAGGAATAACAGAAGATCATGCGAATTGCCATAAAAAATCAGAATATCCATCCAGTCTCTGATAAAGCCTGTTGCAGATCATACAATCAAAGAATCGTAAAATTGAGGGAGTTGGAAGGGACATCTAGAGACCATAGAGTCCAACCCTACTGCAAGAGTAGGACCCTAGTGCAGGTCACTCAGAAACACATCCAGGTGTGTTTTGAAAGTGTCCAGAGAAGGAGACTCCACAATCTCTCTGGGCAGCCTGGCCCAGGGCTCCATCACCCTGACAGTGAGTAAGTTTTTCCTCATGTCGAGGTGGAACTTCCTGTGCTCCAGTTTGCATCCATTGCCCCTTGTCCTGTTACTGGGCAGCACTGAAAAGAGACTGGACCCTTTCTCTTGACACCCACCCCTCAGATACTTGTAGACATTAATGAGATCCCCTCTCGGCCTTCTCTTCTCAAGACTGAACAGCCCCAGGTCTCTCAGCCTTTCTTCATAGGAGAGCTGTTCCAGTCCCATAATCATCCTCATAGCCTCAGTTGGTCTGTCTCCAGTAAATCCCTGTCTCCCCTGAATTGGGGAGCCCAAAACTGGATACAGTATTCCAGCTGTGGTCTCACCAGAGCAGAGTAGAGGGGAAGCAGAACCTCTCTAGACTTGCTGGACATACTTTTCTTAATGCACCCCAAGATACCACTGGCCTTCTTGGCCACAAGAGTACATTGCTGCCCCATGGGTAACTTACTGCCCAGTAGGACTCCAAGGTATTTCTTCATGGAGCTGCATTCCAGCAGAACAATCCCTAATCTGCACTGCTGCCTGGTGTTATTCCTCCCCAGCTGCATGACTATACACTTGTCCCTATTGAATTTCATGAGGTTCACCTTTAGCCAGCTCTCCAACCTGCCTAGGCCTCATTGGGTGGCAGCACAGCCCTCTGAGGTGTAAGCCACCCCTCCCAGTTTGGTATCATCAGTGAACTTGCTGAGGGAACACTCCATCTCCTCATCCAGGTCACTGATGAAGATACTGAACAAAACTGGACCCAGTTCTGATCCCTGGGGAACACCACTGGCCACAGGTCTCAGGCCTCCAACTTGACTCTGTGCCACTGACCACAACCCTCTGAACTCTGTTGTTGAGCCAGTTTTCAATGCACCTCACAGTCCAATCATCTATCCCAGATGCTGTGAGAGACTTTAAGAAGAGAGTATCTTACATATCTCTCTATCCTAGTATACTTGCCACACCCCTGGTGGATTTTCAGTGATAGGTAACACGTTGTATAGAATCACAGAATCATTTAGATTGGAAAAGACCTTTAATATAATCAAGACTGCAGCCCTGCCAAGGCCACCACTGCCCCATGTCCCTCAGCACCATCTCCAGGGCTTGGAAACCCCTCCAGGGATGGGGACTCCCCCCCTGCCCTGGGCAGCCTGGGCCAGGCCCTGACAACCCTGGCCAGCCAGGAATTGTTCCCCAGATCCAACCTCCACCTCCCCTGGCACAACTTGAGGCCGGTTCCTCTTGTCCCATCCCTTGTTCCTGGGGAGCAGAGCCCGACCCCCCTGGCTCCAACCTCCTCTCAGGCAGCTGCAGAGCCAGCAGGTCTCCCCTCAGCCTCCTTTGCTCCAGGCTGGACACCCCCAGCTCCCTCAGCTGCTCCTGCTCACACTTGTGCTCCAGCCCCTTCCCCAGCTCCCTTGCCCTTCTCTGGACATGCTCCAGCCCCTCCGTGTCCTTCTTGTCCTGAGGGACCCAGACCTGACCCCAGCATTCCAGGTGCCCTCTCCCCAGTGCCCAGCACAGGGGGATGGTATCTGGTAGTTAAGCAATTTCAAGAGAGTCCTACATGAAAAACCATTTATAACTCCTCATTTAGTGTGCGTTAAACGTTTCTGGTAGATACCTTGATGTGATAAAATTTTTCGGAAACACTCGTTCCACCTGCCTTCAAAGCCTCGTACTGCACAGACATGGGATCTTTCCCAGTCTCAAAAGTTAATTAATTTTTGTTTTCTTGTCTGACTTTAAGCAGCTGATTGTCTTCCACTGCACAGATGTTTGTCTTTACAACTCTGATTTCAGGTGTGTCATCTGCAATAAGGAGTGCAGCTCATGCAAAGCTCCTGCTACAGCTTGAGTTCAGGTAAGAGAATTTGTAGCCAAGCTGCTTTTTATATTCAAACTAATCCAAAAGTATACTTTATTTTGATAGCCTATGTAATATTTAAATTTATCATAACATATATTACAAATTTAATATAAAGAACCCAATTTTAAGCATATTCAGAAATATTTGTTCTCAATATTCTGTAAGAAATAAATTCACTACACTCAGCTAACAATAATGTTTCAACACCCAGAATCAGAGTTTTGATCAAGACCACAAAGGAACTTGGGAAAGACAAAAATATCTTAACAGCAAGGATGCAGTCCCCCAAAATCTCTTTATCTCCCTCTCCCACACGGTTGTCACTTAAATATGGAATGTGCTGGAAGAGCCCTAGATAGCTGGAAGTTGTGTTTCATCTACAATACCAGAAATACATCTGTTTTGACAATATTAGGACATTAGGAAAAATTTCTTCACAGGAGGAGTGGCGAGGCCTTGGAACAGGCTGCCCAGGGAGGTGGTGGAGGCACCATCCCCGGAGGTGTCCAAAAAACGGGTGGATGTGGTGCTCTGGGGGAAGGTTTAGTGGTTGGGGTTTGCAGAGCAGATGGTTGGACTTGATGACCTTGAAGGTCTTTTCCAACCTTGATGATTCTATGACAAGAAAGCTCAGTGTCTTGGTCACAGTGGCCTTCCATGAAGCTAGGCCTTCTTCTTTGTACACCTCTTGAGATCTCCCACTAGGTGGGCGTTCCTAGAATGAGACTAACACCCACACGCTGACCCAATCCCAACAAGGCACACACGGCCCGGTGCCTGTGTTTGAAGCTATAATGCTGTTTTGTATTTTACATAATGACTCTGTGATTACAATGACTGCCCATGGCGTACAGTGTCTTACTTCTCATTCCCCTGCCTTGTGAAGAAAACCTGACAGAATCTCTCAATGGAATTCTAGCAGGGATAAAAGTGGTAAGAAGTAGCTTTGCATGCTGCTGGGTAACTGATTCCACTCTACCAAAAATAATTCAGAATTATATAGACCAGAATGATACAGAGGAGGAACATACAACATAGCCCAAGGTACTCACCTGCAAGATAGAAAAACTGGATCCAGGTCCCTGCTACTGTAGCAATTTCTGTATTTTACACAGTGAGTGTTTTGCACAGCACGGGCTGGGCTGACTGACCCACTTACCTGATGATGTGGTTTATCACTATCGGGTCTGGAGGCAGTAGCAGGTTCGTGAGTCTCTGAGGAATTTCAGAAAACTTTAGCCGTGGACAGTCAAAGATCTGGAATACAATTATAAAATAAATCAAGATATAAAATTATAAATGAAGCATGTTATCCTTGTCTAAAACCTAGTTTGCAATTAAATGAAAAACTAAGAAATCAACAGTTCAAAAGTAAGATGGTTTTGAAAGCCACCATTCTGGTTCCTTGCACAGCATACATTTTTGGTCACTTCTGTCCCTGTGAATTGCTGCTGCATTTACAATCTGACAGATGCATCAGATTATGACAATTTCAGGTGTCCCACTTTTGGTTCAGCTGCTGAAGGGCATAGACCACTTAAATGGGACATAAGGATTAACTATCAATTATGGGAGAGAAGGGGACTCTTCCTCTCTCACTAAGGATATACAGCACCATATTGGAAATAATGTATTCTTTTTTTTACCAGAGGAAATACAAAAACGGTTTTCTTGGGTTTTTTTCCAAGGCATCTTTCCTGCAATATTTTGTGCTGGAGAAAAAGACAAGAAAACATTTTTGGGATTTTAAAACTATTTGTAATTTTAGCAGACTTGGGAAAAAATATCTTTTCTAATTATATCTTCCATGTCTTCTGCCTTCATAAACAGGGAAAGA